GAGGGACCGGCTCCCGGCAGCCCCTAGCCAGTTTGGCTCAGTGAACAGAGCATTGGCCTGTAGACTGAAGGGTCCTGGGTTTGATTCTGGTCATGGGCACATGCCCCGTTGCAGGTTCAATCCCCAGAAGGGGGTGCAGGAGGCGTGCAGGAGCAGATGATCAATAATTCTCTCTCATCATTGATTTCTCTGTCTCATTGTTAATGTTCTTATCTGTCTCTGTATCTCCCTCTCCCTTCCTCTCTGAAATCAATAAAAATATATTTATAAAAGAAGAGCTTTGCCTCACCAACTGAAAATACTCGTTTACCATGAAACACAATTTCTACCAACTTTTAAGTAATTGATACAATAATCACTATGATGGCAATAAACTTCATCTTTCTATTTTTGCTTTCTCATATATGTTTCATGGGTTTTTATATCTTTAATATGAGTTAATCAATTATTGTGGTTATTTGTTAGTATTTTTTGATGCTACAATTGTCCAACTCAGGTCAATGGAAGTCCTTTCAAGTTGTGTTCTTCTTTTGACATAAACCCATCCTTATAAGTTTATGTATTCCCTAAGGCCTGGAATCTAGTATTTTCACAGCAATCCCTGATCACATTTAATGGAAAATGGTACTTAAAGAGATCAAAAGCTGGGCCCTAGGGATGTTCACTGCTTTAGTGTTATCTGGAACAGTTTAAAGAGTACAAAAACTCCTTATTCTTAAAGTTTTAAAAGGAATTCCTCTGTGAAACTATTTGAACACTAGGAGCCTGTTGCATGAAGATTCGCGCACCTGGCTGCTGACACCGGTTTTTCTCCGGCACCCGGGACCCAGGCCTTTGGTCCGGCCGCAGTGGAGAAGCCAAGCCTCTTCAGTCGTCAGTCGGGCCGGAGCCTTCAGTCTTCACTCCACACCTACATATGCAAATTAACTGCCATCTTTGCTGGGTTAATTTGCATAGTCACTCTGATTGCCTGGTGGGCATAGCCGAGTGACACCAATTTGCATGTTTCTCTTTAATTAATGTAGATGGCATTTTAAAAAAAGTATTGTCTCGTGACAATTTTCTGAATTTCTTCAAAGCTTACAAATATTTCAGGTGTTCTGTTTATTAATAAATTGGCATTTTATATTGTTTGATAAAGTAATCCATTTTCAAATGTATTTATAGTCATATAAAGAGTTTTTTATAATGCTTGCAATTCCTTCTGTGATTGTATCATTATTTCCTCATTCTTCTTTCTTATATATATCTGAGTTGGCTCACTTTTTTTTTCTTGATTAGGATGTATAGTGCATAATCAATTTGTTGACTCTTTTTAAGGAAAGTAATTATTAAATTTATGTGTCAGTTCTTCACTTTCCTAATTTATTATATTTGGCTTCTAAGAATAATTACTTACATTTGTTCTTTTAGGCTTAAATATGTATTGTTCACTCTTATCAAATTGACTGCTTAACAAAAAGTATTCTGAGTTATCTTTTCATTATGAATTCACTATTAGGATTCTCAATGGAATTCACTTTAACCCATACACAAAACATTTATTTCTATCTAATTTCAGCAAGCTTAAAGTAGTTAGCATTTTTTATTTAAAAAAAAAAACCAACTAATATTCTTACCTCTTTTGTAGTAGCTGCTGCTCCAGGTTCATGACTTATACAAAAAGGGCCAGTTTTCCATGCCTCGGTGTCTCCACAGTCACAAAATCCTCCTCCAGTAGAAGTATGCATCTAAGAAATGAAAAATGAGTTTGTCTTGATTTCAAAACATATTACAAAGCAAGGAAGAATGACACAGATAACTCAAATAATAAATGTTCCCTAATAATTCTACCTTAATTGTGTTTAATGTAATGGACACTGGATATGTAAAAAACCTGAATACTAACCACAACAAAAATGTACCTTCAAATTTGATAAATTTTTGAAATATACTCTAATTTTTAAATAATAGTTTTTAAATTTTTGTACTAATGGAGAACAGATTGTGTAGTGTGCAAAAAAAAAAAAAAAAAATACACAATTCCCAGAATTCTTAAGTAATTTGATTTTCTAATTAAACAGACATTTTAAAATATTTACAATAATACTTATATATTGTACTTAAGAAATGTAAAAAGTATTTTCATCTATTTGGTGTCCTATAGCAACTAAAATGATTTACATTTTTCCTTTGAGAGTTCTTGCAAAAAAAATTATCTAAAATATATTAAACCAGATAGAGAATGACAATGACCTGATTTTGAATTCCCTGACTGGGAATCGAACCATGACCTCCTGGTTCATGGGTCGATGCTCAACAACTGAGCCACACTGGCTGGGTACCTAATGTCGTTCTTTTTTTTTTTTTAAATATATTTTATTGATTTTTTACAGAGAGGAAGGGAGAGAGATAGATAGTCAGAAACATCGATGAGAGAGAAACATCGATCAGCCGCCTCCTGCACATCTCCCACTGGGGATGTGCCCACAACCCAGGCACATGCCCCCAACCGGAATCAAACCCGGGACCCTTCGGTCCGCAGGCCGATGCTCTATCCACTGAGCCAAACCGGTTTCGGCCCTAATGTTGTTCTTGAGTGATTTGTGCCAACTTACATTCCCATTAAAAGGATATATTTCGGAGTTGATCACACTGGGTGAATTTTTCTGTTACTCGTGGGCCCTTTTATTGTGTCAGGGCACATGCCCAGGTTAAGGGCTCAATCCCCATTAGGGGCATGTAGGAGGCAGCTAATCAATGATTCTCTCTCACCACTGATGTTTGTATCCCTCCCTCCATCTCCTTTCCTCTCTCGGAAATCAATAAAAATATATTAAAAAGAAAACAATATTAGGCAAAAATTATCAAAATTTTAAATGTACACACTGTTCAGTCCAGAAAATCTATTTCTAAGAATCTAGCCTTAGGCATTCTTGAATATATACACTGAACTATATGAAAATAAAGACATATGTACACTTCAATATTTGTTGATCAGTCAAAAACTGAAAACAATATAATTGTTTATACAAAGTGGATGAGTTATATATATGATGATATATTCCCACAAAGGAATACATGCACAATTAAATAAGGCAAGAGTAGGGATGAAAGACACAAATATAAATACATCATCATCATTTAGTAAATATAGAGACATACACAGGAATGGAACAGAGAAAAAGAACATTATTATATGTATCAACATAGAATTACACCCATGATATACTGTTAATTTAAAAACAAGTAGCAAAATAGAATATACAGTAGGATCCCATTTATATATATACACACACACAATACCTCTCTAAATATATAAACATGTATGTCTATGTGCATGTTTGTAAATACATGTTTATAGATAAAAAAGATCTGTAAGGATGTGCAGTAAAGTGTGTTTAGTTTAACAAAGAAAGTACAAAGGGGCAAAAAGACAAATACAATTTTTATTTATAATCTTCTGTATTATTTGAAATTTTAAAAGGTAAGTTTTATTATATTGCCTAGGTAAATAAACATTTTTTAACACTGTGTGTTTCAAAGATAATCCTCCTATATAATAAAAGCCTAATAGCTAAGTGTCTAGTCGTCTGGTCATCAGTTCAACTAATCAAAGCATAATATGCTAATGATATGCTAAGGCAGCTCAACTGCTCACTATGACAGGCACTGACCACCAGAGGGCAGACAGTCGGCCAGTAGCTATGATGTGCACTGACCACCAGAGGGCAGATGCTCCGACCAGTAGGTTAGCTTGCTGCTAGGGTCTGGCCTATCGGA